CTTCATTTGTCCTGCTCTGCAGCCGGTGCGACAGGTTTGTGACCGCAGTCATGGTCTCCACACATGACTTCAATGTATACTGATTGGCCTCAATATCAGTTTGCACCGCCATTTTTTGCTCCACAGACCGCATCGGAAAGTTCAACGGAGCAAAACCAGAGGTGTTTGATTGAGGTTCATTGGCCACCGCACCAGTTATCTCTCTTGTTGACTCGTTGAGGTCGGGAAAGAGAGTGAGCAGACCACGGGACGACGAAGCCATTTCTGGGCAACAGAGTGTTACAGAGTCTCTCTCAGAAACGGAAGAGTTTTTTAGAGGCTTTTCGCAGGTTTTTTTGTCTCAGCCTCTGCCTCGGCCTCAGGTTCCGTCTTGGTTAAATAGCCGAGGCAGCCACGCGCATCGCGCGCCACTTGACGCCAGACGACAAAACGGGCGCGCAAGCCAAGGTAGTCACGCGCCTCGCCATCATGTCCGGCACACCTTTTTATGAATTGGGCACGCCTTTTTATGGCACGCCTTTTGACAGATTGGGTGCGCCTTTTGAGGACGCGATATATCTATCTATATGTATATCTTTTGGGCAGCCTATCTACACACTCATACAGTGTCTTCTACAACGGTCAGCTTTATCACTCCCTTTGCTTCAACCTCAAATAGGTTTCTATCTTCACACCTATTTGAGTTTGAGGGGGGGTTATACATATATCATGTATCATGGTGAGCATGGTTACACACCATGGGAACCACCCAAGCCACCCCATGGCGCACTCCCTAAGTCGCCCCCTTGGTTGATTCCGGTCAGCTTCTACAACGGTCCGACATGACCCCGTAAACTGTCCCGACATTTATTCCGGTTCGCTTCTACAACAACGGTCTGATACGACCACACAGTGTCTGCTACATCGGTCCGGTATGACCTCGTAAACTGTCCTGCTACAACGGTTTAGCTACCAAAATTTTTTCAGTCGCTGAAACTCCTATATTCGGCGACTAAACTGACTTTTAGTCGCTAAAAGCCCTATATTCGGCGACTAAAGTGCTTTAGTCGGCAAAAGTGCTCAAGTTTGGCGACTAAACTGATTTTAGTCGCCATTTGTACTACTTTCAGCGACGAAAATACTTATTTTAGTCCCCAATTCTGCATTTTCTTGTAGTGGTAAGTTGCCCTTGCTTGGTAAATGATTCTTACAGTTTGTTAGGTCATCAATTCCCTCACCAAAAAGTTCAAAGTTTAGAAATCATGAATTGCATCAGTAACTAAAGTTAAAAGTATAATTCGAAAGACTACAAAAATTTAATTAAAATTTTATCATAAATAAAGTATAGGTTTAGATTTAAAGTTAGTTTATTGTGAGTCATATGCAGACTGAGTTTTGTCAACATATTTGATGTTAATGTAAACCCACATACTCCACCTACTCCACCTACTCCACTACACCTACACCTACTCCACCCACTCCACCTACTCGACCCACATCTCCTATATAATGTACATACAATATAACAATCAAAATCAATAAAATCAATATATACATAATTGTTTCTCTCTTTCTTTCCTTATACCCTATACATTTATTCTTACATTTGAATTCTAAATAAAATTTTAAATAATTTTTTTAGGCATGTAACACAATTGAAAATTTTAAGTTGTAATTAGAAAAAAAGGACACAATAATATATATTTACTTACACTTTGTCTTCTGCATAACCCCATCTCATATATGAAAAAACAGATAAATTGAGAAAATAAAGTGCACGAAAACAAATAAGTTTAAGTTGTAATTGGGAATCAACCTAGTAATGTATATCAAGTTACATTTTTTTTTTTTACATGTGATCTCATCTCGCATGTGAAGAAGTTGATAAATTGAGAGAACAAAATGCACGAATACATACAAAACTTAGTACACAATGACATATATTAGATTACCAATTATTTCAGAAACTCAAATTTCTAACCAACTATGTATATAAATTAATACTTCTAACTAAAAATCTTAGCTAATGAAAGGAGAGAATTCAATAAGTAGATGACAAATGAAAGATGAGTAACAACTTAGTTCCCCAACCCTAAGTTCATATAGTATAGTGGCAAGTAACAACTACTAAAATAGTATAAATATGATTAAACTCTTTCTTTGAATTTCTTTATTCAACCTTTACTCCGTCCAAATTACTAAAGTGGTCCAATAAGTAAGAAAAAAAAACTAAATAATCCCATGCCCCTGCTGGGACAAACCCTGCCAAACTCCTAATGGGATGGCAGAAAGTGGCACCAAAGATTGAAATATGATCTTACCATATTCATATCTACTAATATGTAATTATCATGCAGTATGTGCTTGGGTTAAACCAAATTGATCCTAAGGCAGGTTTTACAAAGCTTAATTACCATCACCTTAAATATTATTAGATAGTCTCGGAATATTATTTAATATTGTTTACGCAATGCTCTCGATAAATAAGGAATCACAAAATATATTAGATGGGTCATTCTTCTCTCTCAAATATCAAACAAATATAAATAAAGTTTTCACTACATTATTGGTTAAGAACACCACCTGAGCAATGTCACATACAAATCCGGAACCTCTCTACAGTGATCTTAGAGCAATTTTTTGTAGACTAGATTTAATTATACAAAAGCTGAGGGTAGTGATTTTTCCTAGAGTGATCCTAGATCAATTTTTGTATGGCTGAGATTTTTTTAAAATGTTACTATGAGTACTATTGTACCCTCAACTTTTGTACAATTAAAACTCGGCAATAAAAAATTTGCTCTAAAATCATTTTAAGAAAAATCACTCTAGAGATCTGGACTCGTCCCGTTATACTCTAGGACTACTACATAAAAATTTCCATGTGTACAAAATTTAATCACAAAATGGGACCCATATTAAATATAAGAATCTTATCTCATATGCAAATATTGTGTTAATTGCATTCCAGGGATATAAATATCATAGGGTATTTCAAAAAGCGACATCTAATTTATTTATTTATACTATTATTAAGTGAAGGTCTCAGTTGGTGTAGTGAAACCTTCTTCTCCTCGTACCACGTGGCAACTTTATATATGTAAAAATAAAAAATTATTATACAAAGCGTAAGCAAGTTTTGAACGCAAACCATGAGTTTCATTAAAAACATACTTACCACTTGAACAACATATATATACATATTAAAATATTAATTTCTTTACTATTTATTTTTATTGTTAATTATCTGAATTGTACACTTATCGCACGCTATCGCATGCGTCACCTGCTAATTTATTTTAATGAAGGCATATGAGTAAGAAGGAGAGGGACAAGTACGACCCACCAAAAACTCATCACCTTAATTGATTCCAAACAACAGGCTTTGTGCCTGATTGATCTATGTATATATTTTATGAGTGTGCTACTCTTATAGGACACCAATATTTATTTGTCATCACTTATCATAGTTTTCACCATCATTCCTTCAAACAAGAAAAAATCTCTGAATTCTATGGCCTCGTTTGGGAAGTTGGCTATTTTAGTAGGTTATTTTAGTTTTTGACTATATTAATAGGCTAAAATTTTTATATTTGAGAAGATCGTTAAATTTTTTTTAGTTGAATGTGGTGTTTGTGAGAGAAAAAATGATATGATTATGAATTTGATGTGACATTTTATCTTATTGGTTATTTTAACCAATTTTGTTGTCTTCTTTTTTTTGTGTGTGTAGATTTTAGGCTAAAATTGGCTATATAAGTGACCCTCCCTTGTTAAATTTCACTTTCAGAGCTTCATTGAAAATCTTGGGAAACAAACAGAAAAAGGGAGAGATTTTTGATTTCTGGGTATGGCTCAAAGTGTCTTGTCCTATGAGTTGTGCAATGATCAGGAGCGAATTGATGATCAAATGAGTGGCTTGGAACTAAGTCTCTCAGCTATGGCTTGCTATCCTTTCCCTTATATGCCAATTTTGGAGAATCCTGCAGTTCCAACTTGGTTCCCCACCGTATCTGACGAAACCGGCATTCACAAGAGGCTGAAAGGGACTTCAAGCGTTCCCGAATCAATCGAAAGCAATAGCAGCTTTTATTGTGGCGGTGGTGGTGGCAGCAATATGAGTCGCAATAGCAGCACAAGCAGTTTGAACAGCTTGCCAAGGCTTCAATTCCGTGATCATATTTGGACTTACACGCAAAGGTACTTGGCTGCCGAGGCGGTGGAGGAGGCAGCAGCCGCCATAATTGGTTCCGAGGATGGAAAATCTGAGGAGGCCGAAGGCGCAGGGGACGGGATGAGGCTTGTCCAGCTCCTAATTTCTTGTGCTGAGGCAGTGGCTTGTCGCGACAAGTCATATGCCTCGGTGTTATTGTCGGAGCTACGAGCAAGCGCGTTGGTATTTGGCTCATCATTCCAACGCGTGGCTTCGTGCTTTGTCCAGGGCCTGGCTGACCGCTTGGCCCTAGTCCAACCGCTCGGTTTCGTAGCACCATCGATGAGCATGATCGACATTGCTTCGGCAAAAAAGGAAGAAGCCTTGCACTTGGTTTACGAAATTTGCCCACACATTCAATTTGGTCACTTTGTGGCCAACTCAACAATATTGGAAGCCTTTGAGGGAGAGAACAATGTCCATGTGGTAGATTTAGGGATGACCGTAGGTCTGCCACATGGATACCAATGGCGACGGCTGATCCAGAGCCTCGCCAACCGTGCAGGCTTACGGCCTGCACGACTTCGGATAACTGGAGTCGGTCTATATACAGACCGATTCCAGATTATCGGTGATGAGCTAGAGGCCTACGCTCACAGCCTGGGGATAAATCTGGAATTTTCGGTAGTGGAAAGCAATCTGGAAAACTTGAAGCCTGAGGACGTCAAGCCCCGGGAAGGTGAAATCCTTGTCGTCAATAGCATTCTTCAGCTTCATTGTGTGGTGAAAGAAAGCAGGGGAGCTCTGAACTCGGTTTTGCAGATCATTCATGAGCTTTCACCTAAGGTTTTGGTGCTTGTTGAGCAGGACTCGAGCCACAATGGGCCTTTCTTTCTTGGAAGGTTCATGGAAGCACTACACTATTACTCTGCAATCTTTGACTCTCTTGATGCTATGTTGCCCAAATACGACACAAGGCGCGCGAAAATGGAGCAGTTTTTCTTTGCCGAGGAGATCAAGAACATCGTCAGTTGCGAGGGGCCTGCTAGGGTGGAGCGGCACGAGCGGGTGGACCAATGGCGAAGGCGGATGAGCCGGGCAGGGTTTCAGCCTGCACCCATTAAGATGGTGGCACAAGCGAAGCAGTGGTTGGGAAAAATTAAAGCTTGTGATGGTCACACCATTGTGGAGGAGAAAGGGTGCTTGGTTCTCGGGTGGAAGTCGAAGCCGATCGTTGCTGCTTCCTGCTGGAAATGCTAAAATTTGAACAGTTTCAGGGCCTAAGGATCGTCTGTACTCAAATTTCTCAGTTCTTATATCCTAATGCACTTTCTAGTTGTATGACTATGTCTCAAACATTTTCATATCTTGAGATTCTCATCCCATCTTACGGCTAAGAGCGTATTGAGAGAGGGATAAAGAGATTTGAGTACAGACGATCCGAGGCCCATCTGTGGCGCTGCAGTTATGTCGCGCATTGAATAAAACAATATGGTTCTTGATGGGGACCATGTGAGTGTTTAATAAGTTCATCTGCTGCAAAGATTGTACTATGGCAATGCCCAAGTTCAGTAGAGTGAAGATTCTGAATTTGGATGGAAAATAAGGGACCTGATTGTGAATTTGAGCTATTCAGGGATGATGAATAGATTGAATAAAGTAGTATTGATGGTTTGATGTACATAGATTGACATTGTTTTCATTCTTTAGTTTTCAAATGACTGAAATCTGATAATTAATGGGATATTGGACATAAGGGAAATTATAGGACGTGTATCATATAACTTCTAGTGACAATCTTTGTAGTTTTTGGTTATCATCTATTCAACTGTCGGTTATGACCCATTGTGATATTAGTTATGATATTGTTTTGATTATAATCCAAAAATTCTTAATGAGATCAAAATATAATTGAATATAAAATTATTAAGTTAAAATGCAACGTATCAAATTTGATATAATTAATAATGAGATCAAAATATAATTGAGTATAAAATTATTTAGTTATCAAATTTATTGCTAAAAATTTGAGGTGAAAATATAAATATAGGTCCGATTAGTTATCCAGAAATAAAAATATGTTATCTTTGTCACTGAGGTGGGCTTTTTCTGTCTCTAAACAAATCACACCATCTCCATTATTTTTCTCATCTCTCTTTGTGAAAATATTACATTTTAATAGTAAAACTAAACCATTTTTGTGTTAACAGGACCCAATTTAAATCCAATTTAAATTTTGAATTTAAATTTGTTCACCAAAGAAAAAAAACATATTCCAATTATATTTTTTTTTACATTTCCTATACTAACTACAAAAATCCATAAATCTAGCGTGTACTCTTCACTTTTAAGAGCATAAAACACATAAACTCATAAATCTAAGGCATGCCCGGATTATAGAAAAAAAATAAAATAAAAATAATATTTGGTTTCTCACTCCTCTACTTTTCTGTCTCTACCTCTCTCTTCCAACCCCTCCAATTCCAAATCCTCCTACAATTTCTTCCAAAACCACAATACCTCTCATAGACAACAATCCAAGATTCAAAAACCCCCATCACCTATCAGAATCCGAAATCACCCTCTCTGTACAATCACACTACCCTTACCGACAACAACCCTCTCCGAAATCACCCTCATGGCCACCCTAGAACACCTCTCTCATGTCGTCTCCAACGTGACGCCTACCACCGGCTACGACTTCAGTAGGTGTTATACGGCGATGGTTCGTTTGGATCCAGTGATCCTCGTGCCGAAAATGCTACACTCAAACCGACCTGATCTTCGATTTGACCAAATTGACTCATCGAGCTGCAACAACCATCAGATGTGTCTCTACCAAGTATTGTACGGTGATTCTTCAATACTTTGAAATAGACCACAACTGAGCTGTGGCATATATTCTTCAACCTTGAATAGATTTAATTTTTTGAATTGGATACTTTGATGGCTATACTAAAAATGTATCGATGTGCTCTATCTTTATTTATTTATTTTTCTAAATTAATGATTGAAGACTGAATAGTGATCTTTGAAACATAAACTTGACACGCAAACCTGGCCATAGAGCAAATGAAGATGTTCACTTGACAGTGAGGAAATCTACAGCAGGTCTGCATTTGAATATGAGAAATATGAGATTTGTTATGCTACACCAAATGTAAATTATAGTATTTCTAGTGCATGTATGGTGGTGAAAATCCATTGGAAAAGAAGATTGTAAACTTAGAGACCAGCGAAAGTTTCGAGTAACTCACTTAGAGACCAATTAAAATTTGTTATTGAAAATTGAAATAGATAGTTCAGGGAAAGCTACTGAAGATTAAAGGTGGTTTTGTTGGTTATTGTTTATGTTGGTTGTTGATTTACTTGATAGTTAGTATAAATTGCCAATGAAACAGTTTTTTTTTTTTTTTTGGTTTGTGGCATAAATATATGTTTGGACTTTCTGAATGATAAATGGTGAACTTTAAAATACTTATGATTATAAGAGATTTTGATTTTGGTTTTAATTTGAGAAAATTGAAATAGATAGTTCAGGGAAAGCTACTGAAGATTAAAGGTGGTTTTGTTGGTTATTGTTTATGTTGGTTGTTGATTTACTTGATAGTTAGTATAAATTGCTAATGAAACAGTTTTTTTTTTTTTTTTGATTTGTGGCATAAATATATGTTTGGACTTTCTGAATGATAAATGGTAAACTTTAAAATACTTATGATTATAAGAGATTTTGGTTTTGGTTTTAATTTGAATTGGATAAAGGCCCATTGATTTTGGTTTTAATTCGAATTGGATAAAGGCCCATTGTGGCTCAAGTCCTACTCCACAAGCACCAAAACCTTAGGCGAAAGCTCATGAATGATCTGCAAAATCGAGTTCAGAGCTTCCTTGTTTTCTTTCACCACACAATGGCCCTGGTTGGTGTAACTATTAAAACAGATCATAAATTATAGCTTAACAGATTATAAATTATGACTTTAATCGGAAACTGTTAATTTGTTTGGTGTAGCTGTTGAATTATAAATTTAAATTGCTGAGTAGAGTTTGTCAAATAAGCTGTGAAGTAACTTTTTCAATTAACTTTTATTTTTTGTTATTCACTACTTGTCTATATTTCTCGTAAAAAAAAATAATAATAATCTATAGTCCATTTGGGTCTTTTTCTATTTTTAAAAAAATAAAAAAATTTAAGAGTATAACTGTAAATTAACATGTCTACAGTAGAAACTGATAATCAGAAGCATGGGATGAGCAGCTTCTCAAAATCAATTTTTTTGAGTTAAAATAAATTGTTAGAATCAGAAACTGTTTGAAATAAGTTTAATCAAACAGTCTAGAATAATTTTTCCAAAGCTAGAAGTTATATGTTGGTTTAAAAAAGCCCAAACATACACTCCAAATGAAGCTGAAGAATGCTATTGACGACGAGAATTTCACCTTCCCGGGCCTCGATGTCCTCAAGCTTCAAATTTTTCAGATTTCTTTACACTACTGAAAATTTTAGATTTATCCGCAGGCTGTGAGCGTAGGCCTCCAGCTCATCGCTGATAACCTAGAATCGGTCGGTATATAGACCGACTCGGATTTTCCAAAGCCGTGCAAGCAGTGAACCTGCACGGTTGGCAAGGCTCTGGATCAGCCATTGCCATTGGTATCCATGTGGTAGACTTAGGTTCATCCCTAAATCTACCACTTGGACATTGTTCTCTCCCTCAAAGGCTTCCAATATTGTTGAGTTGGACACAAAGTGACCAAATTGAATGTGTGGGCAAATTTCATAAACCAAGTGCAAGGCTTCTTCTTTTTTTGCCGAAGCAATGTCGAGCATGCTCATCGATGGTGCTACAAAACCGAGCGGTTGGACCAGGGCCATGCGGTTGGCCAGGCCCTGGACAAAGCACGAAGCCATGCGTTGGAACGATGAGCCAAATACCAACGCGCTTGCTCGTAGCTCCAACAATAACACCGAGGCATATGACTTGTCGTGACAAGCCACTGCCTCAGCACAAGAAATTAGGAGCTGGACAAGCCTCATCCCGTCCCCTGCGCCTTCGGCCTCCTCAGATTTTCCATCCTCGGAACCAATTATGGCGGCTGCTGCCTCCTCCACCGCCTCGGCAGCCAAGTACCTTTGCGTGTAAGTCCAAATATGATCACGGAATTGAAGCCTTGGCAAGCTGTTCAAACTGCTTGTGCTGCTATTGCGACTCATATTGCTGCCACCACCACTGCCACAATAAAGCTGCTATTGCTTTCGATTGATTCGGGGACGGTTGAAGTTCTTTTCAGCCTCTTGTGAATGCCGGTTTCGTCAGATAGGGTGGGGAACCAAGTTGGAACTGCAGTATTCTCCAAAATTGGCATATAAGGGAAAGGATAGCAAGCCATAGCTGAGAGACTTAGTTCTAAGCCACTCATTTGATCATCAATTCCCTCCTGATCATTGCACAACTCATAGGACAAGAGACTTTGAGCCATACCCAGAAATTAAAAATCTCTCCCTTTTTCTGTTTGTTTCCCAAGATTTTCAATGAAGCTCTGAAAGAGAAATTTAACAAGGGGAGGGTGACTTATATAGAATTCAGAGATTTTTTCTTGTTTGACGGAATGATGATGAAAACTATGAAAAGTAATGACAAATAAATGTTGGTGTCCTATAAGAGTAGCACACTCTTAAAATATATACATAGATCAATCGGGCACAAAGCCTGTTGTTTGGAATCAATTAAGGTGATGTGTTTTTGGTGGGTTGTACTTGTCCCTCTCCTTCTTACTCATATGCCTTCATTAAAATAAACTAGTGGGGTGACACATGCGATAAGTATACAATTCAGATAATTAATAATAAAAATAAATAGTAAAAAAATTAGTATCATATATAATATATATGTTGTTTTAGTTGTAAGTATGTTATTAATGAAATTTAAGATCTTGGATTCCAAAATTCTTTAATAATAACTTGTGTGATGTTTGGTTATAATATATATATATATATATATATTTATAGTTATGACTCTTTGACATATATATGTGGTAATCAATATCACAAATATCATAACTTGCATGTGATTTAGCATTGCTATGAACATAAATAGTTAATTTTGTTTTTCAAAAGAAATATTTATACCGTTCATATAATTAAGGGGGTCAAAGTGTTAGAATTCATACATGGGAAGGGTCATGACATAATAAACCCAATATTCTTTTTAATTTTTTGATAGTGAAGGCAAATATTATTGAGCAACCGATGAGCTCTAAGAGTTGACAACATTATTTATAATAAAAGCAAGACCTAAACCTATTAGAAAAAAAATTAACTAAGAATTTTTTTTTCTCTAATCACAACAATGAAAAAAACAAGTAAGAAATTTCAAAAATTGCTAAATTTGAGCCAAGCTGAAATTTGAATACTAAAAAATCAAAGGAAATATGACAAAACAAATGACAGTAAAAGTGCAAATTTTTATACAAAATTATTGCTAAAATAAAGCTTTACTATATAAAATAAAAGTTTTTTTTTTATTTTCTATAAATAAAAAATAAAAAAAAAAACTAATTTAAAGCCAAAAGGTTATATGGTCAGAAATTGAATTGATACACAACATTGTTGTGAATTTTGATCTTCTTTTTATTTTTTTTTATTTTTAACAAGTAGGATGATGTTGGCCCATACCTCTGCTATTTAGTTAAAGTAATATTACAATGACCATATATTTCTATCATCTTATTTTACAATTTGATATGTTAGTCTAGTTATCAACA